TGCTAAAGGGAAATGCTTTCCTTCTCTGGTTCATTTGATTGTATCTATGTGCCGAGAAAAGTATTCTGGGAAATGATTAAGTTTCCATAAGTCATGCCATTTTTTATAATGGAAAAATAAATCATACACAACAAAATTTAACTATACATTTTCTCTCTGTAGTTCTTGCAACGATAGCTTTTGCTTTTCTTCTTCTCCCGATGTGCCAGTATTTAACAAGACCCTGTTCACCTCAGAACAAGTAAGTTGGGAATTTCCCCTAAGTTATAAACTTGTGAGGGTTTTTTTTTTTTTCACACTTGCTAGCATTATTAGGAGCCTAAATTTTTTTTTTAATTTTATTGATTGATGAGAGAGAGAGAGATTTGTTCCACTTATTTGGTTTCATTGGTTGCTTCTTGTATGTGCCCTGACCGTGGTTGGAACCCACAACCTTTGCATATTGGACAATACTGACTGAGCTACCTGGCCAGGGCCAGGTCTGAATTTCCTGGTCTTGTATTGACTGGAGCTCACACATGCTAGAAAACTGGGAAGTGAAATGTTTGATTTTTAAAATTGGAAGATAGTAGCACTTCCTTTTGCACCTTCTCATAGCAGAGGAAATATAAACAGATCCTAGGAAGTCAGAGTCGCCGTAATATGCTTCCTGCTTAGCTTATTGAAAGATGAGAATTTTCCTTTTAAAGCATCACTTTCATTCTTTTACTAGTGAGTGAGTGGGATCTGAAAATAGTGGTTGACTGACATTCTTTGCCTTTTATCTTTGGTGACCTAGAATCACTTAGGTTTAATCCCATTGTTCACACCTTAACCCTTACAGCTGTTGCTCCATGGAAACAGAAGTCTCTTGTTGACGGAGATGCTGTATGCACTTGGGAAACTATCACTTGAGGCAGCTGATATTCCCCGGAATTAGTGATAATCAGATAGATTTATTATCTTACAGTATTAATTCATCTTTGCTAAATGAATTGAATTGTAATGTTCCTCAATATTTTCCTCATACAATAGAATTTCCCCTGTGCTTAGACTCTTCAAAGATTGATGTTGTCACTTTAACTTTCTAAAAACCCATGTTGATAATTTGGGATAAAAAGTACATTACCAGCCCTAGCCAGTTTGTCTCAGTGGATAGAGTGAGTGTTGGGCTGCCGACTGAAGGGTCCCAGGTTTGATTCCGGTCAAGGGCACACGTCTGGGCTGCGGGCTCAATCCCCCGTAGGGGGCACGCAGGAGGCAGCCCATCAATGATTCTCTCTCATCGATGTTTCTCTCTCCCTCTCCCTTCCTTTCTGAAATCAATAAAAATATATATTTTTAAAAGTACATTATCAGATGGGTTCAGACTCTGGTTCACTCCAAAGAGGTTTGGGTATTCTTATATCAGGGATCTCGTCACTTGCCTCCTACTCTAATCTGGCCCTAATGAACCCTGATCATGAAGAGAGCTCGGTTAGTGAATGACACTTATTGCCCGTTAGTCCAGTAAATGTCATGTGTTTCCAGGATTTCCTTTGGCTGCTGTGGACGTTTCACTGCTGCTGAGCTGCTGTCATTCTCTCTGTCTGTCATGCTTGTCCTCATCTGGGTTCTCACTGGCCATTGGCTTCTCATGGATGGTGAGTAACTAGCATGTGAGAAGTTAAAATTCCAATTTAGTTTATAGGTGGTTACAATGAGTCCTCCCTTCCTCTGCTGTCTGTATATTAGTCATACTACTTTTGATTACCATGGATATTAGGTATGCAAAGGTAGTGTTACTGAGTTTTTTTTACTATTTTTACCCACATTTTAAAGATTTTTTAAGAAGAGCTTTTTTGAGGTATAATTCACATACATACCACATATAACTTACCTATTTAAAGTGTATGATTCAGTGGTTTTTAGTATAATCACAGAGTTGTACAACCATCACTACAGTCCATTTTAGTGCATTTTTATCACCCACCCTCTAAAACAGCGGTCGCCAGCTGGTGGTCCGTGTGGTCTGGAAGTTGGCGACTGCTGCTCTAAACACGTCCCCAGCAGCAGTTACTTTCCCTGCCCCCACCCAGGCCCAGTCGCCCACTGGTCTACCTTGTGTCTCTGAATGTGCCTCTTCTGGACAGTTCAAAACCAAGGATGTCCTTCTGCTCATGGTCAAATTGGATAGAATTTAGCAAAAAGGATTTTAAACTCTATTTTCCCCCCCTGTAGGCCAGAATCAATAACATAGTCTTAATAGAGAAGAAATTTTAAACCTAAGGGAAACTAAAATCTTACTCTTCTATTTTAAGAGATTTTTTTCTCTCATAACTTATTTTAACCAGTGGAAGGATTTGAAATTTATATGTACCAAATTAACTAGTGAAAAAACTCTAAGAAGCTGCATATTAACAGGGAAGAAACTATAGAGTGGATTGTAAGCTCTGTAAAATTATATTTGAATGGCATATGTTATTTTAATCAAAGGTGTTATTACAGAAAAAGTACTTTTTTAAAAAACATACAAAATATGTGATATACTTTACTTATTTTTAAATGTTTTTTGCTTAAGAAGATAAAATTATAGTGATGGAGAATAGATAAGTGATTATGTGGAGAGAAGAGTTTGAATATAAAGAAATAGCACAGGGATTTTATTGGGGTGGTACAGCTGTTCCAAACACTGAGTGTGGTGGTAGTTCTATAAATCTGTTAGAATTCACAGAATCATACATCTAAAGAACAACTCTCAATTTTACTGTTTGATAACGTTAAAAATTTTAAACATATGTATTTCTCACTATATAAATACATCATTTGTTTGTATATATCTGTTGTCATAGTTATTCAAAAAAAATTTTATTTTGAGTGCCTACCATATACCAGATATTCAAAGTCAAAAGTGGTTCCCTGAGGTTACAGGTCAGATTAACCTTTAGACTTACATCCAGTCTTTAAAGACGCAGAATGGGAAGGCCGGGTCAAAATCACCAGCGCCTCCTCCCTGCTGTGCTTCACCTTGGCCGATTTCTGACACCTTTGGTCTCATTTTAGCATCAGACATTGCCATATAAGAAATATTCACTGTGATCATTTGCTTCAGAACTTCAGTGCCCATTGTGCATATAAGCGTTCTGAGCACAGTGTTTCAGATGTTCAAGTGGTTGTCGGAACTGCCACATTTTCCAAATGGAGTATCAGTGCTGTCGGTATTCTTAGCAATTGGTGTTCGGTACTTCCGTGCTTCTGGAGGTTGATAAAAAGTTGAGAAACAGACATTACATCCAGGACTCGCACTAGCTGCTCGCGCGGCTTGTGGGAGGAGGGTGATGCCTGTTTTATATACTATATACTAGGTGTTGAGAGTGACGCCGTGGCTGGTGTGTTTGACTTTCCCTGAGATTAACTCTTGATTTCGGTAGCAGAACGGGTGAACTAACAGCACAGGTATAAACTGAGCACTTACTTTACTCCACCTACACAAACGTTACGTGAAATGAGACAGTGAAGCTCCAGGTGCCACTTTTTCAACTAGAGTAAACATAAAGCAGTAATCACACACCCCCCCCCCCAGGACGAATGGGAGATTTTGACATCATTTTCTGTCGTTATTGCTATTTCCCAATACTTACTTGTCCAAAAATGTCTTCTTCTACCAGGTTGCATTGGTTAAACTACCCTTGTGAACAAGTATAGAGTTTTCCCTCAAAAAAAAAAAAAAAAAAAAAAAAAGGCTGGAGGGGTTGGGAGCCTTTGAGCTTTTTAATTGTTTTTCAGATTAATGATTAGTGTGTGTTTTCTCCTATTATAGGAAATGTAGCTTTCTAGCCATGGTCTTTAATGTTCTCAAATATGTTTTTCTCTGATGGAGAAATTATCTTTCCAGACTTCTCTGCAGCATCAGAAATCATCTGGTAGGCAGTGATTTGGTGGTAGTTTTTTTAAATGAGTGTTTCTTAATTAAAGCCTGTTCTTAATTTAGAGTGAAAACAGAATGGTAAATGTGGTTGTTTTAGGGCTAGGCATGATGTATATTTTCAGGGTTATACTGAGAAGCATTAATATTAAGAAGAAACTTCACAGATTTCTTGAACTAAATCTAGAGCTTTTAAAAATCTACTTGTTAAGCCCAGATTTCAGGATCCCCAATAGACCACCAGGGAGCCAGCCGAGTCCCATGCAAAAGCAGATAGAGTCTTTATTCGGGCTAGCTCGAGCTCCCCCCACACTCGCCAACGCAGTGGCTGGGACAGAGAGCGAGCTAGCCCTGTGGGAAGAGGGGTTTTATAGGGGGTTGGAGTACCGGGAGGAGAGAGGACTGTGGGCCCTGCCGATTGGCCAGGCACAAGTCTGGGTCTTGTTGCACAGGATGTGGTTGTGTCTATGGCACGCACTTCCCTTGATTGTCATTGGTTAGTTTAAAGAAATCCTAGGTGTGGCTAGCAGAGGCTTGGGCTTCCGGGAAGAAGCTCCTTGCTGAGCACATGGCTAATGGCTGCTGCCCCCAAAATGGAGGATCCGGGGCAAGATGGAGGGCGTAGTCCTTGCCCTTTCACTACTCTGTTTCATCTGGTAAATTAACCTTTTAAATTTGGGGAAGCTTAAAGGGTCTGACCAGTAGGCGGTGTGGTGTGTTAGCGAAAAGCTGATGAATCTGTGCCCACATACCTAGTGTTCAAGGATCGCTTGACCAGGGTCACGGTCTGCATCCTCTGGCCAGTTCAGAGACTAGAGGAGTCTTCACAGATGTCTAGCCAGCCCTTTACTCTACAGCACTTGCCTCTAAGCCAGGGGTGGGCAAACTTTTTGACTCGAGGGCCACAATGGGTTCTTAAACTGGACCGGAGGGCCGGAACAAAAGCATGGATGGAGTGTTTGTGTGAACTAATATAAATTCAAAGTAAACATCATTACATAAAAGGGTACGGTCTTTTTTTTTTTAGTTTAATTCATTTCAAACGGGCCGTAGTTTGCCCATGGCTGGAGATCTTAGAGATCTTAGAAGCAAGACTGCTTAAGACCTTACAAGTCACATAATCCTTTTCAAGAACAGTTAAGCTCAGTTTGGCGTCATTGTCTTTGTACTTCGCCTGCTGGTTGTGGAAGACAAGGTAATAGCAGAGATTATATCAATAATAAATTGAAAGTAATTATGGCGAAGTAGCTAAGATTAATAATTTACTTCCTAACACTGCTGCTTCATTTACATTTAACCAGAAGGTAAGTTTGTTGGTGAAGCTATCAGGGAGCCTTGGAGCTTCTCAAGCAGCATGGAGCAAGGGAAGGCATCATCTCTCTTCATTTGGGCTGGGAAAAGCCCTTAGGACAGCGGTTCTCAACCTGTGGGTCGCAACCCCTTTGGTGGTCGAACAAGCCTTTCACAGGGGTCGCCTAAGACCATCCTGCATATCAGATATTTACATTACGATTCATAACAGTAGCAACATTACAGTTAGGAAGTAGCAATGAAAATAACTTTATGGTTGGGTCACAACATGAGGAACTGTATTTAAAGGGCCAGAAGGTTGAGAACCACTGGCTTAGGAGAAAGGAAGATTGTTCAGAGTTACATGAATGAAAGAATGAAGAAAAAGAGAGGCAACCTAGATGAATAGTTGTTTCAGTGGTAAGACATAGCTGGTAGCAATGTTCATTTGGGTATAGGAGTGATATTCATTCACAAGACTTATATTAAGAACCTTCTCTGAAGCGCTCAAAAGGAATGGTTTCTGCCTTTTTGAACATGGAACTTCAAGGACAGTGGGGAGACTTGGTTGGCACGGGAAGAGGTTATTGCTCACTGGAGAGGAGGAGAGGTTGAAGAATAGGAATAGCCCAGCTGGTGTGGCTCTGGTTGAGTGTCAACTCATGAACCAGAAGGTCACGGTTGGATTCCTAGTCAGGGCACATGCTCGGGTTGTGAGCTCGATCCCCCATAGGGGCCATGCAGGAGGCAGCCAATCATTGATTCTCTCTCATCATTGATGTTTCTGTTTCTCCCTCTCCTTCCTGTCTCTCAAATCAATTTTTTAAAAAAAGGAAAGAAAGAAAAAGAATAGAGATACAGGGAGATGGACCCTGTGGCCAAGCCTGTGTGCACAGCACTTGTCTGTGTGACTGTGCCTGAGGGTGCATGGCTGTGTCATAGACTTGATCCCCTCAGAGGAGGGAGCCTGGGGCCCTTAGGGCAGGACATGATGTGAACTGATTTTTACAATGGCCGTGAAGAGAACTGGGAGAGGAAGTGTGGGGAGGCTCGACCAAGGTTTGCAGTAACAATAAGGACTCACACCACACAATGGCTCCCAGGTGAGGTACATAAATGAAAGATGTGATAAACTGAAAATGAACTCAGAGTTTCTTGTTTGGAAGCTTAGAGATAGAATGACATTGTCTAGAGCAGCGATTTTTGCGAGAATTTTTAAAACATGCAATACCTGACTGTTAGGGGCACGGACCTCTTTTCCCTTAGATTGTCAAATTAAAAAATGGCAACAGCCAACACAACAATAGCCGTCCAGTGTGAAGTAATCAAAATTATACCTGTTTTTCTTGTCAGATTGGCAAAAAAATATATTTTTTGGTGTGCTGCAGAATTTTAGTAATTAGTTTATGGGTGCCATGAGATGAAATGTTGGAAGATCGCTGGTCTAGAGTCATGGAAAATTCTGTCACTGAGCAGTTGTCTTGTCAATGCTTGGTTTGACCTAGGCAAGTAGGTTTAGCATAAGATGAGTGATTAGGCATTGAGTGATGCTTAGAGACCTGTCAAGGTTCCTGCTGGTGTAGGATTAAGTGATTGAATGGTCAGTTGAATAGGAAAGTTCTGAATGGACCAGTCACCTGCGAGTGTTAGAGGCAGATACATTGAACCTTGGGAGCCTGCCCTTTTGCTTGTCTGCCCAGTGGGTTCCCGTACCCTCTGTCAGTTATCAGCAGACGGTCCTCTGACCCTCACTGCCCACCGCAGGTCTTCATTTCTTCCTTTGTTCCCTTGATGCTTTCCACTCCATGTACTCACTTGTAAGTTCCTGAAAAGATCCACATCACTGCCGCCAGCATTCCTAGTGTGGTCTGGTCTCTGGTCATTAGTTCCCAGCCTCTGTCCCAGGGGCTCCCTTCCTCACTGACCACTCCTGCTCCTCGGGCCAGCAGAGCTTATGCTGCCAGAGTATATATTGACAGCACAGCCAAACCTCGCTATTAAAAAATTAGTGGGAGGTGATTATAAGGGGCTCTTAAGTACATTTCTTCACGCCTTAAACATATTTCAGCTGCAACTTGAAAAGTTTCAATCTTTGCAAAGCCTAATTGACTAGTACAGTCCGTTATATTCCTTTGAAATGGCATGAATTGGCATATATTTTACCAGTTTGGTTCTGAAGGAGACCCTACTAAAATGGCATCTAGATTATTATAAAGTCAGGCATTAGGTCTTCATTACATCTCTCCAAAATACACACTGGAGCCCAGTGAATGCCTGATAATAAAAATGACAGGAGAAATAGAGATAGTTTTTCTTCCTAATTTTACTGTTTTTCCAACCCTTCTCTGTTGTCGGGATGGGAATTACTTTTCTGTTTATGCAACACCATGCCTAAAGTAGGAACTCACTAAATATTAGTTGAATTGCTATATCCTGGGTGTGCCCAACTGTTATACATGATGCCTCATTTTATTATGTTTCACTTTATTGGGCTTCACAGATACTGCATTTTTCACAAACTGAAGGCGGACTCTCCGCTAGCAAAAAGAATATGACCCTTTATTGTGATACTCACTTTATTGTGGTAGTCTTAGTCTGCGACCACACCCATAATGCCTCTCAGCTATGCCTGTATCTGCTCACTTTGTTACATACATTGACAATTTACCGAATTTTTAAAAATGATACATACCTGTAATATGGCTTTACTCACTTTTCTTAGACTAATTTGGAATTTGAAGCTGATAGAACATAATTTTTCATTTATTCAGCAAATAGTTGTCGAATGTCTACTCTGTCAGTTGCTGGGGATCCACAGGAACAGATAAGCCATGGTTTCTGTTTACTAGGAGCACGCAGCTTAAGGAATAAACTATGTGTGTATAAATAATGATACTATTGTAAATGGACGCAAAGAAAACAGCAACTTCATCTGGCCAGGTCAGGAAGGCTTTCTGTCCTGGCCTTTTAAGAATGAGGATGAATTTTCTAGGGAAGAAGCCCAGGTCAGGGCCCTGTGAGCAGAGCATGAAGGAACATGGTGTGAGTTGAACAGTGCATCACATTCGAGTGGCCTCGGAGCAGCAGGAAGTGCACACTGAGGGCAAGGGCTGCTCAGTGGAGGGTGCCCTCCTGTTCCTTCCTGCAGGGCCTGGCCACGCAGTTCTCCTGGCGTCCGCTTCGGGAGAGCCCACAGGAATCTGCAGGAATCAGGCCTGGGTTCTCAGAAGACCGGAGGGAGGGAGAGAACTGGAGGCAGGGAGAGACCATCCATCTGCCAGGCCGTCCTAGACTCCAGGGATAGGATGGGAGCCTTGCCCTCAAGGACCTTACATTTTAGTTGTGAGGAGAGAGAATTTTAAAAAGATACATCATGTACCAGATTTTGAGAGGTGCGAGGATAGAGGAATGAATGGCTGGAACAGTGTCCCTGAGTAAATGAAAGGAGATGCCACAGAGGGTGAGTTAACGTGAAAGCAAGGAGCAAGGATGATGAATCTGCAGCGATGGGGGAGGCAGAGGCCAGAAGGCCCAGGCTGAGCCTGTCTTGGAGCTTCATCAAAACAGAACCTCCTGGGTCCCACAGTGTGAGAGAAGGATTTCCCCGAACACCAGCAGGCCACGACTGGCGTGGGCACTTGGCACTGTAGGGTGTACATTCTTAGACCAGAGCTGAAGGCTGCCTGGTTTTTGAGGGGACTTACAACTTTGTTGGATTTACAAGCGAATAGCGTGTGGAAAGGGGATGGGCCTGTGATGCACACTGACTGCTGTCTCCTCCCCAGCCCTGGCCATGGGTCTCTGTGTCGCCATGATCGCCTTCGTCCGCCTGCCCAGCCTCAAGGTCTCCTGCCTGCTTCTCTCAGGGCTCCTGATCTATGATGTCTTTTGGGTAAGTGTCTGTTGAAGCCACTGCTCTCCTTTGTGTTTAATTGGGGTCAAGCATCCAAAGTCTGGCTGGCCGGGGTACCTCCTGTCTACAGCCACTCCCTCCAGTCCTGAGCTGTCTGTGTCACCAGGTGAGCCGGCAGCTGGTTGACGTGTGTTACAGAAGACAGTACATGATGGCTATGGTGGAAGAAAGAGTAGGCAGAGTTCTCTGCCTCAGAGCATGCAGTCACAAAAGCTCGTTGGCCCTCGCCGGCTCGGCTCAGTGGATAGAGCACCAGCCGAGAAGTGAAGGGTCCCGGTTCGATTCCGGTCAAGGGCAGGCACCTTGGTTGCAGGCTCCATCGCCAGCCCTGATGTTGGGCATGTGCAGGAGGCAACCAATCAATGTCTCTCTCACATCATTGTTTCTCTCTCTCTCTCTGTCTCTTCCTAAAAATCAATGGAAAAATATCCCCGGGTGACGATTAACACAAACAAAGGCTTGCTGTCACAGTTTGTGCAGCTCTGCTCTTACGAACAAAAAGGACAGGCTGCTCTAGCGCCCTCTCTAAAGGAGGCTCTCCCCTCGCCAGGTGTTTTTCTCCGCCTACATCTTCAACAGCAACGTCATGGTGAAGGTGGCCACCCAGCCGGCTGACAATCCCCTCGACGTGCTTTCCCGGAAGCTGCACTTGGGGCCCAATGTTGGGCGCGACGTTCCTCGCCTGTCTCTGCCTGGAAAACTGGTTTTCCCGAGGTAGGACTGACACCCAGGCTCGTGGCAGCCAGCGCACGGCCTTCCGGTGCCTTGATTAGTCGGTCTTTGTCATCCACAGTCTAATCCTAGACTAGAATGGGTGAGTCAGCATCTCCATCTTACAAAAGGAAGAGAATGTTGACTTGCAAAGGTTTCTCACTAAGGGATACAGGTGCTGCTTTTTATTATTGATTAATGTTGTCAGGTAACCATAGATTACTACTATTAATTCTCTCCAGCCAACTTCAAAATATACTAACAGGAGATTCTGGATCTTTTTACTTCTAAGACATTTGTAAAAATATGGCCTAATGCTTAAATTACACAGTTCCTGGTAATAGAATCCTGAAAAAATTAATGTGTTGCTTTCATCTCCTGTGTCTGGTAGTAGTTGGGTGCTTATTTGATGTCTCAGCAGTGAAGGTGTGACAAAGAGTGAATTGCTTGGCATTTCTAGAGGTGGCAGTGCTTATGCCGCCATCCACAAGGTGCTCTCCGAAGCACTGAGGGGCGGGGGAAGACTTCTATTGCTAGTGCTCTTGTGGCTTTTAATCTCTAAACTCTTAAAACCTCGCGTACAACCAGTAGCGATTCCCACCTGCCATTCAGATAGATTCTCTGCCTTCTTAAAAAGCTGACACTGCCCGAGGAGGAGGGGGTGGTTTACAGCGTGGCATCCCTGACCTGTGACACTGCCTTCCAGCTCCACTGGCAGCCACTTCTCCATGTTGGGCATTGGAGACATTGTGATGCCCGGACTCCTGTTGTGCTTTGTCCTTCGTTATGACAACTACAAAAAACAAGCCAACGGTGACTCCTGCGGCGCCTCTGGACCCGCCAACATCTCTGGACGCATGCAGAAGGTCTCCTACCAAAGAGTGAATTGCTTGGCATTTCTAGAGGTGGCAGTGCTTATGCCGCCATCCACAAGGTGCTCTCCGAAGCACTGAGGGGCGGGGGAAGACTTCTATTGCTAGTGCTCTTGTGGCTTTTAATCTCTAAACTCTTAAAACCTCGCGTACAACCAGTAGCGATTCCCACCTGCCATTCAGATAGATTCTCTGCCTTCTTAAAAAGCTGACACTGCCCGAGGAGGAGGGGGTGGTTTACAGCGTGGCATCCCTGACCTGTGACACTGCCTTCCAGCTCCACTGGCAGCCACTTCTCCATGTTGGGCATTGGAGACATTGTGATGCCCGGACTCCTGTTGTGCTTTGTCCTTCGTTATGACAACTACAAAAAACAAGCCAACGGTGACTCCTGCGGCGCCTCTGGACCCGCCAACATCTCTGGACGCATGCAGAAGGTCTCCTACTTTCACTGCACCCTCATCGGATACTTTGTAGGTAAGAGAATCAGACACTGCATTTGGATCCCCTCTCTGGCTGTCCTCCCCCCGTAATTAAACCAGGTCTTCTAGCTGCAGACCCAGGATAGAAGGAGAGCAGCAACTGCTTGCTGCTAATAGCTAATACCCAGGAAAATACCTCTCAAGCCCATGAGATGATAGGTGCTGACTACTGGCCATCCCAGTTCGCTGTCTGAAGAACATCGTACGTAGTAAGAGTACGGTTTGGCTTCAAAGCCAAGAACACCTACCACACAATGGCCATGGGTCAGTCTACATGCTTCATTAAAAACCTCAAGCTTATTGAAGTCATGTATATTTCCCTTCATTTGTTCTGTCACGTCAGACTCTCCCTAGGCTAGCTTTTCTCCAGCAGCTCACCTACCGGCAGGTAGGAATAGTGGTAACCCGTCTGCCACTGCAATACCTCCTACAGCAGGACTTCACTAATTCCATTGCACTTTCATATACATGGTTCATTTCCGTCTCAAACTCGGAGGGGACAGAGCAAAGGTGTTACCCCATCAGACAAATGGGGGGAGGCTCCATGAGGTGAAATGTCTTAACCAAGGTTACAAAGGTTTGGAAGTAGCAGAGTTGAAACTTGAACTCTGCTCCTTCCAAGTCTTTTGCCTCCAAGTCTAACATCACACACCACAGCAGACAGGGAGGCCAGGCACACGGGGCTGCAGGGGAGTTGGTCACAGGTCCTTGGAATTGAAGGATTTCTTCTTAAACTGTGCTGTCCATGTTTCTTTAAACTGCTCGAACTAGACATTTTATAACCTACTCAATGGATGGATATGCCTGTTACCTGGATGTGTCTTGGCACTAGAGGTTGTATATATCTAATGTGACAGTCTCCTCTCAGGGCTGGCCGTTTGCCCTTACTCTCGAATGCTTCTCTCTCCTCATAGGTCTGCTCACTGCTACCGTGGCATCTCGCATTCACCGAGCAGCGCAGCCTGCCCTCCTCTATTTGGTGCCATTTACCTTATTGCCACTCCTCACAATGGCCTACTTAAAGGTGAGAGAAGCAGTTAGAAACCTGTGAGGCAATAGCTTGGCATTGGTCCTGGATTTGGGTATGTATTCTCCTTGCTGGAGGTGGTTCTACCTAAGCCCCTGGTGTTGACAGTGGGGTCTTGTTCTTTCATTTTATTAGCCTGATATTAGCATCTTCCAGATTCTGGCAGCACTGAGTCAGACCACTGCGCCCCTGCTCCCGGGGTATTAATGGGCATCCTACAGCTCCAGAGACTCCTCGTAAAAGCAGCCCCCTGTTGCCACCAGCAGCTCTTTTAATGCTCTGCATTCAGGGTTGAAGTAGGAGCAAGCAGCAGGGCCAACGCACCCACCTGGCCCTTCTCCAGCGAGCTGCTCTGCAGGCAGGCCTAGTGCCCCAGGTGCTGTAGTGCCTGCTTGGCTACATGTGGCTTTCCAAAACTACCAGGCACTTAACGCCTGCACAGAGGTCTCTCCTACAGGGGACCACTCAGTACAGCAAACCAGATAAAGACTAGGGAGCCGAGGAGTTCCCCGGGGTCAGAGGGCCGGTGAGCACCATCATTGGCGTTTCCTCTCTCCACCTCCGTACGGTGGGCAGGGCTCTGTCCTGCCTGCAGGGTCTCTGCACTGTGTTCCTGGACACACGGCTGCAGCTCTTTCTGCCTGAACAAAGGAGCAGGCAGGACCAGCAGGCCGCTATTGCACGCGCCCGGCCTCCCCTCTGGCCGTGCTCCAGCTCAGCAGGCCACTGCCCAGACCTTACGCAGCCACTCGGCTCCTGCCGACCTGCCGAAACCTCCTGCAGGCACAGGCCACACAGCACCCTGCTGCACAGAGCCTTCCCGAAGGCTGCAGGAGCTGGCAGTTTTCTCTTAACGTAGACGCCAACATAGAAAGTCAAGACAACAAAGGAGATAATTAACTAAACAGGGATAGTTTACGGAACCTCCGAAAACATCAGGTGCTCAGGTGTGTGCATTATAGGGATTCTAGAGAGAGAAAGGAACATACACTTCATTTATTTGAATATGGGACGCGTCCCGAATTTGCATGCCATCCTTGCACAGGGGCCATGCTAATCTTCTCTGTATCGTTCCAAATTTTAAAAAGCAATGGCTGAAAACTTTTCTAACCTGGGAAAGGAAACGGATATCCAGGCTTAGGAAGCACAGAGATTTCCAAACAAGATGAGCCCAAAAGACGCACACAGTTAACTAAGCCCAGCCTGCACCCTCTCACAATCTGGGACTCCTTAGGGGATGTCAAAGAGCCAGTTTCGGCCTGATCCCCACAGGCCAGGCCGAGGGACCCCACCGGTACATGAATCTGTGCACCGGGCCTCTAGTATAAAAATAAAATATCCTATCTGATAAAGGGGGAATATGCTAATTGATTGCCACACCCTCACAAGATGGCAGAACCCAGTCCCCTCAGCCCTGCCTCATCCAGCCTCAGTCCCACCTCACCCAGTCCCCCGCAGCATCCAGCCTGTCCCCCAGTCCCCTCAGCCCCACAGGGGAAGTCAGTTGGGGATAGTTGGGGATGATCATGCTGGCAGGGGAGCAGTTAGATGTCAATCAGGCGAGTAGGCAGAGTGGTTAGGGGTAATCAGGCAGGCAGGCAAGTGGTTAGAAGCCAGGAGTCCCTGCAGGATCATAATGTCATGGTTAACGAAAACCTACAAAAGATACATACAAAAAGAAACATAAACTAAACAAACCAGTAAAGCACAAGGGAAGAGATCAAGAGGAGAAAGGAATAGAGGACAAGTACAAAACTGGACAAAATGGCCTAAGTACATGTTTATCAGTAGTTATTTTAAATTAGAGGCCTGATGCACAAAATTCGTGCAAGAGGCTCGGCCCTCGCGGCCCCGGCTGCCTCTCAGCCCCACAGCCCTGCCCACTGGTCATTCCGAAAGGTCATTCTGCCGTCCGGTCTAATTAGCATATTAGCTCTTTATTATATAGGATGTAAATGGACTAAATGCTCCAATAAAAAGACATAGGGTGGCTGAATGCTGTTTACTTCAATTTCAAAGACATAGACTGAATGTAAAGGGATGGAAAAAGATATCCCATGCAAACAAAAATGAAAAGAAAGCTGAAGTAACAATATTTCTGTCAGATTAAATAAATTGAAAAAAGAGAAAGAAGGACATTACATAATTGTAAAGGAGTAATCCAAGAAGAGGATATAATAATTGTAAATATCTGTGCATCTAAAGAATATAGGGTGTCCCAAAATTCACGCAAGAAGTAATTTTGATAGAAAACACAGGTTTATAATTAAAAATTGTAAATTTTTTATTGATTCATAAAGTATATAGTATAGGGTTATGTATGGAATAGCACATCGGATAAATGGCCTCCTCGGCTTTGCTGGCACATACGCAAAGCCGTGGTCTTCATTGGTCTTCATTGTCCCTGCTCCTGGGCCATCATTGGTACTTGGTAATGCTTATCAAATTGAAGGGATTGCAATGAAAGGGCAACGGATATTAGAACCTGATTCAATAAACCAAGTAAAATTAGGCTTTTATTTTTTGTTGTTGTTGTTAATGCTCACGCAGAATTCAAATCTTGCGTGAATTTTGGGACACCCTATATAAAGCAATTATTAGTGGACATAAAGGGAGAAATTAACAGTAATACAATAATAGTAGGGATTTTAATACCCCATTCACATCAATGGATAATTATCCAGACAGAAAATAAATGAAATAATGACCTTCAATGTCATTATTAGATGAGATTAATTTAATAGAATATTTTATCACAACTTTTCAAAATTTGTGTTATGCACCGAAAGTAGTTCCAGGAGGGAAGTTCATAGCTGTACAGGCCTCCCTCAAGGAACAAGAGAACTCTCAAACCATCTAAACTCTACACCTAAAGAAACCAGAAAAGGAAACAAAACCCCAAGTAAGTAGGAGGAAGGAAATAGTTACGATGAGAGTGAAAGGAAACAGAACCAGTAGAAAGGTCAGTACAGCAGGGAGCCGGGATGAGGGTTCTCGGCAGAACTTGGCTCTGCTGTCGCCCTAGCCTCGGGCTTCCAGCCTCCAGAACTCACAGAACTAAGTGTCTGCTTATCAGCCAGCAGAGCCCACGTGAATGAAGGAAGTTATAACTGATACACAGAAATACAAAGAATCGTTAAAGAATACTAGGAACAACAATATGCCAGCAAATACGATAATCTAAAGGAAATGGGTCAATTTCCAGAAGCATGTAACTTTCTAAGACTGAACCAGGAAGAAAAATAACAAAATGTAAACAAGCTGTGAAGTACTAGCAATGAAATTGAAGCAATAATAAAACTCCCAACAAATAAAAGTTCAGGAGCAGGTGAATTCTACCAAGTGTTCAAAGAAGAAAATTAATACTTACCCTTGTTAAACTACTTCAAAAAAATTTAAGAGGGATGCTTACAAACTCATTTTACAGGCCAGATTACTCTGATACCAAAACCAGATAAAGACATTACAAAAAAGAAAATGGCAAGTCAGTACCTTCTATAAACCTAGGAAAATTGTCAAGCCAGATTTAGCAGGACATGAAAAGGATTATACATCATGACCGAGTGGGATTCATCCCAAGGATGGTTGACCATCCATAAACCAATCAATGCATCCCATCACATTAACAAAATAAATGATAAGAACCCTCAACAAAGCGGGTAGAGAAGGTATCTCTCTCTCAATACATTAACGGCCATAGAAACTGCAGGTAGTATACTCAGTGGTGAGAAGCCGAAAGCCTTTCCTCTAAGATCAGGAACGGGCAGGGGTGCCCATTGTTCCTTCTGTTCAGCATGGCAGTGCGAGCCCTCGCCACTGCAGTCAGACAAAAAACAAAAGGCACCCAAATGAGAAAGGCGGAAACAGAACTCTCAGAATTTGCAGATGACATGATACTGTTATAGAAAACCCTCAAGACCTCACCAACGAACTACTTGAACTAACAAGTGACTTCATGTAGTTGCAGGACGGAGTCACTGTACAGAAATTGTTGCTTTTCTATACATCAGTAATGAACAATCAGAAGAAATGAAGACAGAAACTGTAAAATTGCAAATTTACAATTGCATCAAAAGTGTAAAACACCTAGGAATAAATTTAACCAAAGAGGTGAAAGACCTGTACTCTGAAAACTAAGACACTGAAGAAAAAATTGAACAGGATACAAATAAATGGAAGGATATACCTTGCTCATAGATTAGAAGAATAGTGTTCAAATGTAGCATACAGATTCAGTGCAATCCCTATTAAAATACCAAAGACATTCTTCTCAGAATTAGAACAACTAATTCTAAAATGTATATGGAACCACAAAAGACCCCAAATGGCCAAAAAAATCTTGAGAAGAACACATCCTGATATCAAATTATATCACAAAGGTACAATACTCAAACCAGTGTAATACTGGCATTTAAAAACAGATCAGTGGAATAGAATAAAGATCCAGAAACCCCCACTTACATGGCCAATTAATCTGCGACAAAGGAGGCAAGGATACATAACGCGGTAAAGACAGTCTCTTCAGTGTGTGGCGAACTGGGCAGATAAATGCAACGAAATGAAATTGGACCACTTTCTTAGACCATACATAAAAATAAACCCAAAGTGATCAAAGACTTAAATGTTAGACCTGAAACCGTGAAACACCTGGAAGAAACATAGGCAGTGAACCCTTTGACGTTAGTCTTAATATCTTTTTTGATATAGCTCCTTGAACAAGGGGCAACAAAAGAAAAAATAAACAAATGGGACTACATCAAACTAAAACGTTTTTGACGAAACCAACAAAATGCAAGAACAACCTACTGAATGGGAGAAGATATTCAACAATGATATACTCAGTAATGGGGTTAACATCCAAAGTATGTAAAGAACTCAGATAACTTAACACCAAAAAACAATTTAGTTTTAAAAATGGGCAGAGGACTTGAATGCACATTTCTTCCAAAAGGACATGCAGATAGGTGGTCAGCAGATACTGAAAAGATGCTCAGTATCACTAATCGTCAGGGAAACAAAACCGCAATGCATATCCCCCCACACTTGTCAGAATGGCTGTCACCAGTCAGTACCAAGTGCTGGCGAGGATGTAGAAGGAGGAGCCTTGACACTATTGGTAGGAATGTAAGTTAGTGCAGCCACTATGCAAAACAATCTGCAGATTTCTCAAAAAAATCAAACAGACCTGCCATACGGTCTAACAATTCCACTTCACATTTATCTGCAAACAAAAACCCTAATTCAGAAAGATATATGCACTGCTTTGTTAATTGTAACCAAAATGGGGGAGCAACCTACAAGTCCATCAATAGGTGAATGATAAAGAAATGTATATCAATATTCATAAATCTGCATTATAATGGAATATTACTAAACAGTAATAATGAAATCTTGCCATTTGCCACAACACAGATAAACCTAGAGGGTGTTAAGTGAAATAAAACAAATACCATATAATCTCACTTTTATGTGGAATCTAAAACTGAATGACATTTAGAAATAGAAAACGGCAACGAAGAGCATTATCTTATTCCCAGGATTTCTGTTTTTCACTCTATTGTACAGATGAGGAAACAGGCAGAGGTAAATGAACTTGTTCAGGTCATCTGACTCGTAAGTGATAGAATTTGTACCAGGATCGAGTTGGTAAAAGCCCCTCCCTGCCCCAGCGGCCCAAGTTCTTCCAGTGAGTTCTTCAAAGAATGGCGGGTTACTGCTCCGTGAGTCTCCAAGGAGGCAGCCTGAGACCTAGAATCAGAAAAGACTGTAGATATGTGTGCTTCCCTGTAAACCTGTAACTTAGTCAAGTTCCTTTTCCCAGGGTGACCTGCGGCGGATGTGGTCTGAGCCCTTCCACTCCAAGGCCAGCAGCTCCCGATTCCTGGAAGTATGATGGATCGCAGTGAGCAGGTGGCCATCCTCGTTTTTTCTGTCGACGCGTTTCCTCTTGGAGTTGGCCTGGTCCTCGGAGACGGACCTGTTTAAGGACCTGACGTGGGCTGGATTTTGCGTTTGCAGGAGCTTGTCTGCAGGAGCGAGGTGCTGGGGCGCTGCCGGATCCTCTTCCCGCCGGTGGAGGTGGAGTCCCTTTGGCAGTGACAGCCTCCCCAGCGCTCCTCCTCCCGGTTTCATGGACCTGCATAGACTCACCGTGGGAGATGGAGGTGGGACTGTAAAACTGACGGCGGCGTGGAGTCGCTCTGTACCTTTCGAACACTAAAAGGATGAACACATGAGCAGAGTGAAGTTTCCTCAGTGAACCCTCAAGAACGTTGGGATCAGCTTCCAATGGGGACTCAGTTTCAGAGAACTGAGACAGAGCTCTTCTGTCCTTATATTCTTTCCTTTTTTGGATTTATTAAATATTTTCTGTGGTGTGAAATGACTTCTTAAATCCACAGACATTGAGTGACTTCTTGCAACATACACATATGGATTGTTGTAAAGCGTCATGTCCACCCCAGATGTGTCGGCAGTGAATGGGGGCAGGGTTTTATCCATTCACACGCACATAGACATGTATGAATAAACAAAACCTTAAACCTGCTAAGATCATGCTGTGTAGCAGACGGGGGCCCGCTGTGATTGTTAGCATGTAGAGCCGTTTTCTCTGGCTTTCTTGTACATGGATAAGCTGCTGTCCTTCCCTCCACGACTGAGCGTGCAGTTAAAAACCAGTATAGTATTTGTACTGATATACTCATGGGCGTTCGGGGTCTCATTTGGTTGTGGTCCGTATAGCAAATTAGGGATGAAAAGATAAACCTTCCTGGCCCTTTTCGTTTCTGCAGGCTCCTCCCTTGCAGGGTTTTAGTCCTTCCTTCCTGGACTGATGCATGTATTGTAGCAGCAGGCGTCTTTGTGCTTTCTGATCATAGTAATGGACGACTTGTAAATACATTTTTCTATTTTCTATTTTTTTGTATTTTTTTTTTTTTTTTTTGCATTTTGTTTCATTGGTGTGCTGTATTTTCCATGCCCTCCTTTAAGGAAAAAAAAAAAAAAACGGAAAAAAACAACAACACAATCCTCTCCTTGCTGTTGTGATTGTAGTCTTGGTTTACCTGTGGTGACAACTGGGTACTGGGGACAAATGTCACGTGCCCCCTCCCCCCACATTCCAGGAATTGTGGTCCGAGCCAGCGGCCCTGTTTGCCGGAGAGCAGCGTTCCCATGGTAACTAGTGTGAGTGATGTCTAGCAGCCCTGTCTGGTAAGGAAGTGCCCGGTGCCCAGCGGCAGAGAAGCCTGGAATTGGCCTGCGTTTCTGACAGCCGAGGCTAGCCGAGGCTGGAGCGGCACGAGTCCTGGTCTCCCGCGAGCAGGACCCCCCTGGCCCGTCCTGACCTGCGCGATGAGCCGTGCGCTGTGGGTCCTGTGCCTGGAGGCCCAGTGGACAGCACGGTGGGCCTGTGGCCTTGGGAAAGGGAAGCCATCAGGGTGGTGCGTTCCTCTGTGTCTTCAAATCCTGCCGAGGGCCGCCTTGTGTTCTGTTTTGTTTGTTTTTTAAAAATAAATGACTCCTTTTAGACTTTTCCACCTCATCTTCACTTTGGTTGTTGGTACCAGACTCCCTCGCCTCCCTGCTCTGTCGGCACCGGAGTGCGAATGGGAGGCCCTCTCCTGCGGCCCGCAGCTCTGGTCCCGCGGAGACTGAGGCAGCCTCTTGCCCACGGAGCTGCCAGCGGGGCAACGTGCCCGCGCTCTCCTCCCGACTCCAGGAGGCTGGTGGCTCGGCAGCGGCGGGCGGGCGGCTTCCCGAACGGCTCCAGGTGAAGGCAAGGCCAGTGGTTAGAAATGTCATCCTGGCAGCCGGTCATTTTACTTCTAACTTCTCATACAAAGCTAAATTCCAGACAAGGAATGGACTGTGATTTCTCCTTATTCTCAAGAAGTTGTGTGCAGGTTCAGGGCGGGAATACATGGGGCTCCTGAATGTAATTTGGATTCCATTTGCTAGTCCAGAGTCCTTACACTGCCACGCCGCCAAACAGAAACCATCCCCACCCCACAATATTTTGAATTTAAAAAACCAACTTGCAATGACTATTATAAAAATAAATATGTTACTCACAATTCGGGTGTTCTTGAATATTTTCAGCTGAAAATTCTCACGAAAAATGATTTTAAAAAATGATTTTAAAGTTGGTCAGTCAGGGCTGCCTCTTAGGGAAACTTTTTTTATAGACACGCGTGGCGTGTGGGGAAGGTCCCAGACGCTCATGGCGAACAAGGGCTTAAAACGGCCGAGGAACTGCAGATGCTCCTGTGGTTTTAAAGTGACCACAGCGGACACTGGAGTTCCCTGAGTCCTGCACGCCCTGCCCTGTGGCCGGGGGAGGGGGAACCACATGCTTTTAATCTCCGTGCATCACGCCCCCTTCCCCCACCTGAGGCGCTGTGGCCTCGTCTCCTGCTTCTCAGATGCTCTGGGTCTGGGGTGATCTAAGAAGTCTTGCATTAGGCAAGGTGTGTGCACAGGTTCCAGCGCCACCTACCCCTTCCTTCCTCACGGCTCCGAGGTTCCCCCACGTGACTGCCTGTGGGAGCTCATCGCTAATGAAGATGAGAGCAAAGTTGGTCCAAAGCCACGTGTTCATCGCTGGCACCAAGCTCGGGCCTCTTCTGGAGAAGACAGTCCACGGCGCCCGGTGGGAGCCGCGCCCACGGGAGGGGCCGCCGGTCAGACAGGTGAGGACATGGGCCACACAAAACAAAGACCGAGCTCCCTAAGGGTGGAGGAAAGAGTCTGTTTTGACAAAAAAGTGTTAAAAATAGAATCTGCTGTGTCTGCATAGCAGCTCTCGCATGACTGCCCGCCAGGCCCAGTGCTGTGTGTAGACGTGTTTTGTGAAGTCAAACGGCGTCAGAGCCTCGGACAGCGGTTTGTGTATCCACGGCGCGCACTGGGCAGGGTGTGCACGGGCAGCCCGAGCAGCGAGGAGGGAGCAGCCCGGGCCTCCCCTGCGGCCGCGGTTCCTTGGCGGCGTCCGCGGTGACTCGCTTCAGGAGCAAGGGCCCGAGCGCAGGCCTGTCCTGAAGCGCTGCCCGTCCAGCTCTAGGCCCCCATCGGGAGTGATTTTTATTTCTGCGTAACTCAGAGGCTGTTTTCTATTTGCAAGACTCTAAATTTTTTATATTGATTTCAGAGAGGAAGGGCGAGGGAGAACGAAACACCAAGGATGAGAGAATCAGGGCTCGGCTGCCCCCTCCACGGCCCCCCACTGTGAATCGAACCTGCAACCCAGGCCTGTGCCCCGACCGGGAATCGAACCGTGACCTCCTGGTTCATAGGTTGACGCTTGACCACTGAGCCACACCAGCGGGCAAGACTCTAATCTCTTGACTGCTCACGGGTGGGGGCCTCTCCCAGAGCAGCACCCCTCCCGCTCTTACAGCCATAACGTGTCTCCTCGCACCTGTCCCTGGAGTTCAAAGCCCTTCCCACCTACGAGAGGCCAGTCCGTGCTGTTCCAGCTGAGCTGTGTGGGCGCCGCGTGTTTGTCCACGGAACCACCCATCCTGACCCCACGCGGGGCTGTAGGGCTGGACGTGCGGGGAGAGGTGGCAGCCTCCCCACACACCAGGTCGCCGGGCAACGCAACACAGATTCACCCAGAGCTTTGATCGCTCCTTCCGGCCCTGGGCACAGCGCGGAGATGGGGATGCTGTTTCTCAGGACCCGAGCCCCGAGAACGGAAGCGGGAGAGCTCCTTGTCCAGGGCCATCGGGCAGGAGGAGCCGGGCCCTGAAGGATGCCGCCAGCAGGTGACCCAGCACACCGCTCCCACGTAACACGGACCCGAAGTCCCACCACAGGAGGAGCCACAGGCGCCGTGGCAGGGTCGGAGGACGCCGGGGTGCCGCCAGCAGGCTCAGCCTTAGGCAGGGCTCCTTTAACGCGGTTTCCCGTCAGTTCCCAAGTTCCAATAAGCCTGTTCCGGTCGGGGCGACCTAAGCCCGCCCTGTTTGCAGGGGACGGAGGCCTGGCATGGAGGAGTGGAGAGCAGGCTCCAGCCCCAGGTCCTGGGACGGCCGGAGGCGAAGGAGGGGCGTCAGGCAGAGGGAGCTGGACGGAGCCTGGGGTCGGGAAACGGCGCGTGGGCCTGGGCTTCGCCCAATGCAGGCAGGAGGTGGGTGTCCGGAGGACAAAGGCGGAGAGCGGGCAGCAAGGTGGCCTCTTGCCAGCATTCCAGCCCCAGGATGGGTGCCAGCTCCGCTGCCTGCCCCGCGGGACAGGGCT